CCCGAATAGATAACCAAACAGATAAATCATTTTAATAAATCAAATATATTTTTAGTTGGGTTCAAGAGGCCAGAATCTTCCTAGGCTGTTGTGTTGACAGGTTGTAAAGCTGCTCAACATTCACCGTTGTTGACATTGTTACAAAGAATGCATGAGAACAGTTTAGTTGGTCATGGTGAGCTGCCACATTCCCCCTGATCTCCTCAACTCTTTGGTTGACGAGTTGCACACCTTAAGAACCAACTCCTTAGTGCTTAATGTGTGACCCAGCCCACACACAACCATTGAGACACCTGAGCCTTGTCACCAAGTCAACAATAACATATTTGTGAAAGGTTGAGGCCCTTAAACCCTTATAAAAAGGCCCTTAAACACACTGAAGATCGACAACCTAAATGAATACCTCACGAATGTGACACCAACCTCGATCTGCACATCAAATGTCACCAAACTGCACCTGAGTGTTTAAAGTAGTCACAGGCAGCACTCCTGTGCACTCCGCCCCAGGCCTAAACATCCGGAATTCCATATTCACAAAGAATTCTTAAGAAAACAAAACAAAACACAGAGCGCATACATCACAGGAATACGAAGTCCAAATACAGAGGTCATCCCTGACACACTTACCCCAACCCTGATCGCGCCACGCCACAAAGGAGGTAGTAGAGCAGAAGCAGAATATTATAAAGACTGATAGCACTAACATCTCGCATTATAGAAATCTTCGACAATGTACCAAGTGAACTCACAAAACACATGAGTCACAACACATACTGTGACACATACAACACATACAAGATCAGGACGCTCCTTCCTGACTCACAATTGTTCAACCATTATAACATGGCCTTGAATGTCATATACGAGGAGCATAATGCTGATGTAATATATACAAACATTACGGAAGCTTTCGACAAGTGATACAATTGTGCAACTGCACACAAAATGCGTATGAAAGAAATAGCACAACTTTTTGGATAAATCCGCGTGGAATGCTCAGTCCTGCACGGTAAATTATTTGCTCCAATACTCTCTTATTCTCATATCAGACAGACCGTAACATCATTTGAACATGGCTTTACGATTTTTATGAGAATAGAACCTATGAAAGGAAGCAGTAAACTCCAAACTTTTTTTATATACTAAGTCATTCACTGGGGACAAGTTGCAGTATGTTGAAAACAAAGATATATATATATATATATATATATATATATATATATATATATATATATAATATATATATAATCATACTATAGATAAAACGGTGTAAAATCATCAACCACGTCAGGAGAAATTTCTTCCTCACATGAGGCATTCCTCCTCACCTCTTGCCTAAATGCCCGTGCCTCCCTCGCATTACGGGCTCACCATTGCCTGTGCTACTTGGAACATTTTGTTCCGAGTAGCTGATTCTATAACAACCATCACCTCGCTTCCCCTTACCACCTCTTGTGGGCTTAATCTTCATCAATCAGTCTCGCTCTCCAACAGTCTAGAGCACCAGTGCCTTCTAGTGTAAACAGGACCTCGAACAACTAGAGAAAACCACACTCCACAAGGCAACAATAACAGATGAGGGCAGTAAAATTAATACACCCGCTATTGCCTCCAGGATGCCTCAAGCACGGACGATGACCTCAACATCATCAAAGACTCCAGTAGCTGGATGTAGTAAAGACATCAACAGTCTTTACTACAACCCAACCCACAGTCAACTACGACCCAACCCACAGTCTACTACGACCCAACCCACAGTCTACTACGACCCACAGTCTCCCCCACCTGCCATGACAAAAGAAAGCCAGCCAAAGGAGTAACAAGTGACCACTGTTCCAATGATTATTGTCTCCCTGACAGAGACCTTCAAGCAAGATGCACGACAAGCATTCCAAGCACTGGAACAGACCAACCCGCTTGGAGGAGGCGTCCTCCCTATTGAGTTACTGTTGTTTTAGATTCAGCTACTCGGAACTAAAGTTCCAAGTAGCACGGGCTACGGTGAGCCCGTAGTGGACTTACCTGGCACAGGTAAGCGGGGCTGTAATTGTGAGTTGGTGAGCCATTTGTTCTATTTCAATCTCCTTTTCCCTTGTCTTCCGCTCCTTCCCTCGCTCGCCCACCATAAGGTAATCTTGTTTTTTTGCGCCTGACCTGGCCTGATCGGAGACCGGGCCGCGGGGACATTGGCCCTCAGAACCATCTCAAGATAATCCTTGTCACCGGCGGTCACTCTAGTGAAGCCAGTCACACTTGAGGGCAACTGAGAGTGGTAATGTTAACTACCCCGCAGGCCAGCTGCTGATAAGGTAGCGGCTGCAAAGCTATCATGTGAATTACGACCACCTGACTGGTGGTTGGTGTGACGCCCACAGCTGTTGCTGCTCAAAGGTTACCACCTCACCAATAGCGGTGCGCCTCGCGGGCCACGCAGTATAGATACAGATTTATGAAAGCCTTGATTCGTAAATTTAACACACAGAAAAAATATTGATAAATTTTGGATATTCATAACTTCTCACGTATTTTATTATTATTCCTAGTGATATCATAGGCAAGATGTGATGATTCTTTTTAACATTACAGGATATTTTGTCCCCCTTACACTCTTGCCCACCCATGCTTTTTGCCCGGCCTGGGGCCAGGCTCGGACTCGGGGATGGTTGTAGAAATCTCGGTTGTTAACGGTTGTAGATTTTGGATGATGTTCACAGTAGACATGGTGCTCAACGGCACACTGCTGATAGGTTATTTTGCGTTTTAAGGGGGTCAAAGTCCCCAACGGCCCGGTCTCTGACTATGCCTGACCATTGCATGCAGAGAACGCCGGGTTTCCTTATACTAGGTGTCTACTCTTGGCAATCATCAGTTGGCATCGTCAGCACAATGGTATTTTCTGCATATCCACCATGAGGCAAGTGAATGCTGTGGCGCGGTAGGCTACTGTGGCTGAACAAATTTCTAAATTACGTACTAGGGTATAAAGTTAGTAGTTGAGCTCTTGGTTGCTGAAGAGTAATGCCACACATGACCTTCAATGTTTTAGAGAGGCCGTGAGGCTGCGAGCCAAGGTCAGGTCAGGGAATGTGGTTCCGGCCACACTGGGCTCCCTCACTATTCAAATACAAGACAGGGTGAAAGCCATGCATGCCACTAACGCTCACGGCCACCATCTTCATGGCCGAGCGCTGGTAACCTCGCTTCCGTGCCCAAAGAGATGCACGGTAAAGGGCAGTTATTGGTGTTTACATTCGGCCATTAACATTGGGGTGACTACTATAAGGATGGAGGTAGGCTGGAGGTACCTGATCATACCAAGTACCTCCAGGTATGTCATATAGAAGAAGTGTTCTTGGCGACGCTTATGATTCCATTGATTGTACACTACGCAAGGTCACTCCCTCTGGGACTTCCTCCCCTTGGTAAATGAGGAGGGATTTATTGCAATGATTTCGGGGCTCAACGTCCCCGCGGCCCGGTCCTCGACTATCCATCAACCGGTCCTCGACCAGGGAAGGTGCATCTTGCTCTCTTACCTTTCAATCAGAAATAGAGTATTTATTGAAGATGTGCAATATAAACTCTTCCAACAATAGTGCTATTGAGGGAAATGGCAGATTCTTTTTTGAAGACGGAATCTTACACCAATATTCTGGTAACTTTTCCCGTATAAGCGACGGAGCGCCCATTGTTACTTACAACAGCACTGTAAGGCAAGGTGTGTGTGTCCGCGCTGTCTTGTGTGGACTCCTCCGGTCATTTATGATATGGTGTTTATGGTAGCCGGATTCCTGAATTATGGAATCATTTCATAATTCAGGAATAGGCTTTAAACAGTCTAGTGTGAGGACGCAACCCGTCCTCACATTATGTATGTTAGGCTAAGTTAGGTGTTTAGGTTCTGTTGGCAATTATTTGTATTTGAACAACCCGTCCTCGACTCAAGTCCATAACATTCAGCGGTCACAGGCGCATTCATAAATTTTTACATGTTGTTCATTCAAAACAGGAATTTTTTAAATATAAATTAATATTATAATATATTACCATATTGTGCATATATAGGCATAGGTTAGGTGTTTAGGTTCTGTTGGCGATTATTTGTATTTGTAGTACGTCGGTGAAGCATTTACAAAGTTGTGGTTCGAACAAAATTCGTCAGTGAAACACTTGTTCCGGAAGTGTTCGAACGTCATCAGTTGTGAGTCGTGTGTAAACCGTTTTTCATTCATAAACAGGGGGTTTGGCTGGTGCTTGGAATCACTTTTGGGACTTTGTTTGGACGACGGGCTGGGAACTGATTTCGTTCCCAGTTCATCTTCCAAACAAAGACCCAAAAGTAATGCAGGCGATGAGTCACAATAACGTGGTTAAAGTATGTTGACCAGACCACACACTAGAACCTCTACTACACCTTACTATGCTCCTCAGCTCTCTCTTGCCTATTTATTGTCTGTCTCTACTTCCTCATCACAATCGACTTGAGAATGGTCCAGGACGGACCGAAACGTCGTCGTCCCTTCACCTTCTAGTGTGTGGTCTGGTCAACCTAAAAGTAATAACATGCACCCGCCAAACCCCCTGTTTATGAATGAAAAACAGTTTACACACGATTCGCAATTGATGACGTTCGAACACTTCTGGAACACGTGCTTCACTGACGAATTTTGTTCGAACCACAACGTTATAATTGCTTCACCTACGTACTAAATATACAAATAATAGCCAACTTGAGTCGAGGACGGGCTGTTAGAGGAGGGATTGCATAAAGCTAGAGGCAATTCGCCTACTTTACCAAGGCAGATTATCATTACTATGAGGGATCGTCGATTTTACAATGCATCTATATTCCATTGGCCACCGGATTTTAAATTCCATTTGTTGTGTTACATTAAGACAGGTAAATTGGGACACTTTGCACTTCAGTTGTATTAGGAAGTTGATGAATGTTAAATGGAAGATGTTGGAGTAAGAGAGTAATGACGTATTGGTGTTTGCAGGTGACCGTGATGGTGGCCGTCCAGAGCTCCAGCCGGGGGTGGACTATATCAACGCCAACCAGGATGACCAGGCGGTGAGTTATATTCTCAGCATACCTCTAGCACTGTTGGCGGGCCTCTAGCAGGACTGGCGTGATTTTTGCAAAACCTCCCATAGCTCCCATATCCCTGACCTTGCCTTTGTCTATATAATATACATTATATTATTTATATTATATATATTATATATATAATATATATATTAAATATATATATAATATTATTTATATATTCTATAATATATATAAAATATATATATATATATCATATATATAATATATAAAATATATATATTATTTATATATTATATAAAATATATAAAATATATATATTATATATATCATACATATAAAATATATATATAAATGATATATATATTTATATAATATATATATAATATATTATATATATATATATTTATATAATATATATATATATATATATATATATATATATATATATATATATATATATATATATATATATATATATATATATATATATATATATATATATATTAAATATATATAAATGATATATATATTTATATAATGTATATATAATATTTATATTATATATATATTTATATAATAATATTTATATGATATATAAATATTATATATATAATATATATATATTTATATAATATATATATTTATATAATTATATATATATATTTATATAATATATATATATATATATATATATATATATATATATATATATATAATAAATATATATAATTTATCAATTTATATATTATATAAATATTTTTATATAATATATATATATATAATATAGTCCTGGGGACCATTCAGTATATTATATATAATATATATATTATTTATATATATATAAATATTATTATATAATATAAATATATATTATAGTCTTGGGACTAAATATATATATATATATATATATATATATATATATATATATATATATATATATGTCATACCTAGTAGCCAGAATGCACTTCTCCGCCTACTATGCAAGGCGTGATTTGCCTAATAGGCCAAATGATTTTCTTTATTTTCTATAAATTGCTTCCAATTAGTTTATTTCAATTATTATTACTATATTAAGAACATAAATTATTGACTTCGTTCTGTTAGTTTAGGTTAGGTTAAAGTAAGTTAGGTTAGGTTAGGAAGGGATGGTTAGGTTCGGTCATATATCTACGTTAATTTTAACTCAAATTTAAACAAATTAATGCATACATAGTGACATGAATAGCTTTGTCTTCTCATAAGAAAAAAATTAGAAAAATATATAAATTCAGAAAAACTTGGCTTGTTAGGCAAATCGGGCCTTGCATAGTAGGCAAAGAAATGCATTATGGCTACTAGGTACGACATATATAATATATATATAATATATATATATATGTCGTACCTAGTAGCCAGAACTCACTTCTCAGCCTACTATGCAAGGCCCGATTTGCCTAATAAGCCAAGTTTTACTGAATTAATATATTTTCTCTAATTTTTTTCTTATGAAATGATAAAGCTACCCATTTCATTATGTATGAGGTCAATTTTATTTTATTGGAGTTAAAGTTAACATAGATATATGACCGAACCTAACCAACCCTACCTAACCTAACCTATCTTTATAGGTTAGGTTAGGTTAGGTAGCCAAAAACGTTAGGTTAGGTTAGGTAGGTTAGGTTGTCGAAAAAACATTAATTCATGAAAACTAGGCTTATTAGGCAAATCGGGCCTTGCATAGTAGGCTGAGAAGTGAGTTCTGGCTACTAGGTACGACATATATATATATAAATATAAATAAATATGTTTATTCAGGTAAGGTACATACATACAAGTGATGTTACATTAATGGATTGATATATAGATATATATATATATATATATATATATATATATATATATATATATATATATATATATATATATATATATATATATATATATATATATATATATATATATATATATATATATATATATATAATAAATAAATAAATATATAAGAAGTGACTTGAGCCCATACTGCTAGGAACACTATTTAACTGGTGTACACGACACTTCTTCAACCACTTGCCCATAATGACCATTCAGAAGATGATGATAGCCGAGGCTATTTTCCCCTCAATTTTAGGCTATTTATTTGAGTTTTCGTTTTCATATATGCCTGGGGACCATTTAAGGGGTTAAAAGACACAACACCTTGGAGCCACTACTAGGAGTCCTTCCTAAAAAACAGCCTTGATTGTAGTGAAATTCCTCTTTCTGGTGGATCCTTGATGGTTTCTTGCAACCCTCCCTTTCCCATTCTGGGACTTCCCATTTTCACTTAACTGGTTATTTGAGGGTTTAATTAAGGTTGGAAAGTTGCACAGCTCCCTGGTGGTGTGCAGGTATAACTTAAATGAGAATGGCTTCACTGACTGTGAATCTCTGAAAGGTGTTACAGACCGTTAATTAATCCCCTTGATATGAACTGTTATAAGGTGTATAACCCTACAATAAGACTTAAGCCTACTGGCAAAACTATGAACTTGCAAAGATTTTTGTACAGCCAATTGGTTGAACTTGGGAGCTGAAACCAGGACCTTAAGAGTTGACGACAGATGGGAGAGCCCAGTGATGGGACCCATAAACTTTAAACATTCTTCTAAATCATTACCTAAATAAAATAAATGTTGTAAGGTTTTAAATTAATGCTGTGATTACTTTGGGAAAGCTAATGATTCAATTTTGCCAACCCCCCCAAGCCACATGAATGACTTTCCTCTCATACTTCTCGTATAACTGTCATATCCCTGGAATCTTTTTGCATCACTGAATGTTATGCCAGGTGTGCATGTATTGTATGTTCAAGCAAGTGAATGATATCTAAAGAATAATGACAAATATTTATTTATTTTAGGAGATCTATGGATATGGTCGGTCACGGGTGAAGACTTGCATCAGTTGGTTGTTGATCGTGCTGACGTTGGGGCTGTTACGTCTACTGTTTCACTGGGCTCCAGCACTAATGCTCAAGGCCACCCATTCCCGCTGCTCACTCGCTCAAGCATCCAAAGTTCTCATTGTAGTGAGTAAATGTGGTCTTGTCTCTCGTTTGAGGAATTGATTTTGCTCTTTGCTTAGAATGACTTAAATGTTCGGCTTGTACAGGCCAAATGATAACATGAATTGTTGCTGTAGGCAGTCTACACCCTGCTTCACACTAAACTGGTTTGATATTTATGCTTATTTTAGAAGCCATACAAAACATTTTCACATTAGTTCATTATAAATCTTTATTGTTAATTGAATTAAAAATTGTAAATTGGGGCTGTTTAATTATCATTTATATTATTAGATTGTTACATTTAAGAGAGAACATTTGATTACAAGTAAAATATGCTGATAAATATATTTCATCCATAGGAATACTTCAAAAAATACAAGAGGAACTTTGTAAAAAACATCCATGAAATACATGCTAGCAGTGTCTGGTAAGGAAAGAAATTGTATTTTACTTATTATTTAAAATTTGTAGGAAATCAGTATTGGGTAATTATTTACACTATTATTATTCTAGGAAAATTTGTTCAGATATTGCTACTCGTTCAGCTACTAGTGCTGTAACAAAAAAATTTGAGGTGAAAATATTGTGCTATACAGTACTGTATATGTATTAATTCTAAGTGGGCAGATGAAATGCCATTCTATGCTTGTAATCATAAATTCTAGAAATGGTGGAACTTGCTAAAAATTTTCTATGATTACAGTACTGGATACTGTACATGATGCCCAATATTTTTCAACCGCAAATCTTAAATTAAGCCCATTTCCTGGTGCACATGAAAGAATAAAAATAAAAGAATTTTTCCTTTCTATATCATAAAACATTTCATTCAGTTGTCAGAAAAAAGTTTAACTTGCAGTATTTTAGTTTGGCCATAGTGAGGTGAAGAAATGTTGACAGCTTCATATCCAAAGGGGTAATTTTCAAGTTAATTAATTGTAGTAGTCTCATTACTAATATATATATATAATATATATATATATATATATAATATATATATACTGTATATATATAATAATTCATTGCTTGTTTATTGTCTGCTTAATTGATAATGATATACTGCTTTTGATGTTTGGTTAGATTAGAATGGCTTACACAAGGCAAAGTTAGTTGTTGGTGTAGATGCAGTAGGATTGACTTAAACCAGTGTATCGTTAATTTCTGTAAATGTAGCTTATTTGCAAAGAAAAGAAAGGTGTAAATTAAATTCCTGTAAATCTTTCAGTGTGTTAAAATATATTTCACATTAGAAAAAGGCAGATCAAGTGTGATGAAGTATAGTACTCTTTTTCCCAGGCTGGTCTATCAAATGCGCTTTAAGCCAGCGCACATATGGTCCATCTTGGACTCGTATTACTCGCCAGGCTTGGTTAACTTTGTTCCTTATTATGGCAAGAAATGTTTAGCAGGCCTGAACCCATGGGATACAGTATATACAAATGCCATACAGGCAAGCCAGAAGTGAAAGGCAGATATACTGCTCTAACTCAGTGCTCCTGGCAGGAACTTTTAGTATACCAAGGCAACAAAGACAGGTGCCCAGTGAACACTGAACCTATGGCTACCAGTAGTGCAAGTGATCCCGGTGTAAATAGGGTGAGCTAGTCAGCAAACACCAGGAGGTTCCCATACACAATATAAATATAATAATATAGGAAACTACAGAAAGCCTAATGGCTCATATAAGTCAGCAGTGCAAAGCCAAAGATGACTGAGCTATTAAGGACAACTCGACCATCAAAAAGGTGAAGGAAAGTTCAACAGATCAGGAAACAGGCACTGGATGCATAAAGGCAACATCGAAGTAGGGGAGCCAAATACATTATGGTAGACTGATGAAGTATTGAAACAAAAGATGGTGCAATTCCAAGGGAATTTATGGTATTGATACAAAAGGTGCAATTCCTAGGGCAGTGCACCCGTAGCCAATGTTCCTTCCTAGAAAAGAGCATTAATCACCATTAGAAGACCCAGAATCTTAGTGCACAGATAAAGAAAGTGGCTTGATGTAAGGGCTTGCAGTTAAGTGTACCAAAGACCAACCTTGGACAATTACTGGCTAAGGTAGACCCAAACCTATGAAAGCCAGAAAGAACACAAGTATTCAGGAACAGGCACAGGGACCACTGACCATCAGTCAGGCGGGCTCAAATCAAAGATTTCTCATTTATTTTTCATTGTAAAAATCGATACATAATTATGGAAATACCTGCACAAGATCTGTCTTTATTGCTGTAAAACAGAAAATAAACATTCAAGTTTTTTGTAAGGAAATTTGCAATGCAAAGAGAGAATACTTATTTGAGGAGCAATTATTGTCTTGCGAACGATGGGGGTGGTTAGTTGAGGTGATCTTTAGTTGGTCCTCTGATAGTATTATTTGAACTGTGTTAGTACATAAGTTTGTACTTATCACAGTACTCCAGTACTGTTTGCCCACACTGTACTTGTGTGCTCAAAAAAAGAGAAAAAAGTTATTTGAAAGTTTCAGTCAGAGTACACATTTTAGTGTCATTGGAATGCTAAAGTGTTAAGAATGATCTACAGGGTTGAATTTTGGTGAACTTTTATATTGTATGTAGCCTAATACAGCAGCCCATCCTCCTGTTTTGGTAGTACTTATAGTAACAATGAGGACTATAGTATATGTACCAATGTACTGTACAACACAGTTAAAAAGTAGAAATCGGAACTATTGAGTTGGACAAACTGGAAAATTATTTTTTACTGTACTTGTGTTGCAAAGACAGATTAAACTAACCTAACCTTCCTAGGCCTAGTACATGATATCTGAGGTGTAATATAGTACATATATGTGCTATACTAGGCCTAGGAATATTTAAGTATGTTTTTTAGCTTAATTTTTTATAAAAGAATTCCTTAAGTCAGTCTACTACTATCTCAAAAGCCAAGTACTGTACGTACGAATTCGTAACTACAGTACTGTATTGACGATGGTCACAATAGGTACTATCTAAACAGGAAGATGGGTTGAATACAGTATCATAACTTCACTCATTAGACAAGCATGTGACAGAATTAAACACAGTTTATCCCATTTTCTAATACATGTACAGTACTGTGTTTTCTTTATGAACATTTTAAAATTTAATTCTTTTTAACTTTCATAAAGTAACTGTTTCAATTAATTTCTCTCATCAAGACATGTATACAAATTTATGCTCTTGATCTTATCTAAAATGTTTTCCTTTGTTCTTACATCCTGGTTTTTCCTTCCCTAAAAAAAAAACAAAAAAAAAAAGTCTACTTCCCAGGTCAGCAGGTAATAGACTCTGGCTGTGTCTTCAGGATCTCCTCTATTTCTTGATTGATGCCAGGTACTTTCTTCAGAGATGTCTGTGTCTGTCATGCATTGACGTCTTTGTGTCTCATGCACTACTGCACCCATCACTAATCTCTTTAATTTGCCTCGTCCCCATGTTGTTCGTGCTCAGTTTTAAGAAGCTATTGAAACTGTGTCATGTTATAAGACGCTGCTTGAAGTTGTTTTGCATGACACATAATGAAAGGCTTTTAAGGTGAAAACATTAGTAGTATTCAGACAATGAGTCACAATAACGTGGCTGAAGAAATGATGACCAAACCACACACCGGAAGATAAAGAAACCACGACGTTTCGGTCTGTCCTAGACCATTATCAAGTCGATTGTGATGGGAAAGAGGAAAGCACGGGCAGTACCCAAAATGTCGATGACAAAAACGTGGTCGTTTCTTCATCTTCTGGTCTTTAGTAGTACATTTATGGCCTGTATATATATGGCCTTTATGTGGACTTTATAGTATATGTGGACTATAAAGTATTTAAGGACTATATATGTGAAATATATATATATATGGACTGCCTATGTGGAATGCCTGTGTGGAATACCTGTGTGGACTGCATATGTGAAATACATATTTGCATGTGTGTGTTTATACAATGTGATGAAGTAACACTGTCTTTGCATGTTTTTTTTTTTTTATTCTTGTAGAGAAATGCCACGAGTAGACTTGGTGTAAACATCTACTACTGTTAAGGTCTTTGCTTTTCTTTGGGCTGTTCTACATCATTGTCAGCACTTTGGCCTCTTTGCTGTGAATTGTAAATGTGTGTTAGACCATCTATCTGCATGAATACCTTTTATCCTCAAAATAAATAACCAATATTATTTGCATGAATTAAAAATACATTGATTATGATACAGTATATTATTAACAATTTGTTATTTATATGTAATTTATGAAATAATAGTGTAAAAAAAAATAGTTGACTTTGAAGACTATACAATAGGCCTTCTGTATTATAAAGCTAAGTTCTATACTGGACTCTTACAATACAGTATTGTATTCTTAAATGGAAATACAACATAGGGATACCTAATGGTTTGATCATCTTTAGAATTTTTGTACATTTTTTATTAGTAATCAATATCATGACAAGACCTCTTCATATCAACTTAAAAAAATCCTTTAAGTCTTCCCTATGTGGGGCAGTGTGGTCCTATAATTACATTTATTTATATGGTTTATAATTATATAATCGGATTTGTTAATGATGCTAAGCTACTAGGGAAGAAAGGAAACCTAGACAATTGTCTTGCCATGACTTAAATAATAATCGTGCTTGGCGCACCATGTGGCAAATGAAATTCAGTGTGAATAAATGCCATGTTATGGAATGTAGAGTAGGAGAAAATAGACCACATTTGACCTACAAATTATTTGGAAAACTTTAAAGAATTCTGATACAGGAGGAGGTCTAGGGGTGTTTTTGGATAGTAGACTGTCACTAGAGGAACACACAAAGGACATTGTGCGAGGAGCATATGCTGTGTTTTTCTACATTACGATCACTTTTAATTATGTGGATGGTGAAATGCTAAAACTAGTCATGACTGCTGTGAGACAGTCATGACCATACAATCATAGTAATTTATGGTGCCCATATCTCAAGAAGCACATCGGTAAATGGGAAAAGGTGCAAAGGCATGCTACAAAATTGCTTCCTGAACAGAAAAACAAAGTTATGAAGAGAGGCTAGAGGCATTAAATATACCAAAACTAGAAGATAGAAGAAAAAGAGGCAATATGATCACCACTTACAAAATAACAGGAATTGATAAAATTGACAAAGAGGAATTCCTGAAACCAGCAACTTCAAGAACAAGTTTCTTTGAGGTTACCTTGAGATAATTTTGGAGCTTAGCGTTCCCGCGACCCAGTCGTCAACCAGGTGGTCCTCTCGCTCTCGTATTTGCACTCGCTTGCTCGCTAGCTCGTTTCCATGGAAACCCCCACATCAAACACGAATCAAGATGCAGCAACTACCTTAATTCATTTAATTGGCCCAACCATAGGTCCCCATGATGTCATCAGGAATGTGCAGATAGTAGCTCTTCGATTGTTGGAAAGAGAAGTCATGGAGGGACCTGACTCCGACTTGCATGCCACCATTTACCACCACTTGAACTGAACAAGATGGCAGCAATTCACCCAAGTCATGCAACTGAAATGCATGGCCTCTATAATTTCCACGCATAACCAGACATCGTGTGTGTTCACTCGTACTCTTTCTAAATGGTAAATATTATTACATATCCAGGAATGCCCAATACAAGGGTACTCCAATCTGGTATAAGGATAATCATATTGTACAGTGCATAGTAGTGCACAGTCATCTGCAACCATAGGTGTGCAAATTGGGTTGAGTGACTACCATTCTTTTACATTCAGGGGTGGATTAAGAATCTTCTAGAACCTGTCTCCCTTCCTCCTTACTTGGTTTGGTGAGGTGTTTAAAAAAAAAATCCCACTGGTTAAGGAGATGAAAAGGTTATTGTGGCCTTGGCAAGTGGCAGAAAAGTCCTGGGAAGAGCAGGACTTTCCTCAGAAGTGACTGAAGAAACAACTCGGACAGTGTTTTCCTTTCCATCAAAACCTTTTCAGTAGTATTTCATCTTTAGTAAATGGTTTGTTTTAAGCAATATATTTATCTGGACAACCACAATTATAACAGCCTACTGGGGGAGGGGGAAAAAGGGGTTGGGGGGTGGGTGTCCATTTTGTGGGGTGTTGTATGGATAAAAAATGCATTCATGTTCTGTACTGAAATCCAAGCATATCCTTCCACTGTGGTTTGGTATTTTGTATAACATAGCATATACTGTTGGTCTTCTCTCTCCTTGGTGTTTCTCTAAATCATTGGCAGCACCTTGTGCTCTTTATTATTAGCTTTACCTACTGTATAAGTCGTGCATGGAGCTGTTCCTGGTCACCTTAGCATTCTTATTTTAAAATTAGTTAAGCATTTATAAACAAAGTGTGTGTTAACATTTTACAAGTAACAGATTCTAGATTGTCATCTGTATCATGGTGCATCTTTAATATGACACAGAAGATGAAGCCAATGTAGGGGGTTTCTTGATTACGAGGCAGATGCACAAGGCCTCTTAAATAGGAACCTTCACTAGTGACATCATTCCCCGTGTCGTTGTTGCCTGGAGACCTCTTCTACATTTGTATATCGTTTATATTGGTGAATACATGGAACACATTCTGCGAATAAAAACATATAAAGTACAAATTAGATGCTGGTTTGATCATGGTTCCTGCAGCAATCAATTGCCAGTTGGTTGCTCCAGGGCATACCCATGTTCTCGTGTTCAGAATTATTTACATAAAGAAGAATTTGACGTGACCTGGATTGGAAAGCATGGGTGCCCATCGGTGATTCCACTTATCCAGGCCAGCAAGCAAACAATTGGGATGCCTTGCTTCCTGGCTTGCAATGTCAAGGGATGATTAAATATGGCTTGGTGAATTTACTTGTCAGTCATTCTGGACTGAAGTTTCGTTCAGTACCTCTGTAGCACTTAAATAACCCCTACACAGGAAAATATTCTCATGAATTTGGCTTCTGAATGTTGTCTTTCCTGCCTATGTGAATCTTTTCTTTGACACATCAGATTTTTACCTTATGGGGCAACTATATGGCTATGCTCAGAAATGTGCTATTCATGCTGACTCGATGCTTAATTTGTTTAAAGTACCATAACTATTATTTTATTGTATGTATTAGCATGTGCTGTACTGCAACTATTTTTAATATTTTGCAATGTACACTTTTTAATTCTATAATTCTTTTCATTTTATAACACTAGGATCCTTGAAGATTTCTGACTACTTACAGCTATGAGAGAGAATACAGTGTGCTACACAGTGGGACCATTAGCGGTGGTGGGGAAATTGGGCAGCAGTTAAGTGACCTCAACCTGCCCACTACCCTGGCAGTGCCTACCCAGAATGGAACAATTAAAGGTAATACTGTACTGGGAACCTTTACGATTTTGGAAAACTTCAAGGAAAATTTGCAATTTGTTGCCAAGCCATACCAATTCTTATGTGAACAAATATATTTTAACCTCATCAATATAATGGGCATAAGGCATCATTTGTGTGCTTATGTGGGGACTTGAATTTACAAGTGGAATTAATGACTATTTTGATTAAACCTTTTCATTAGAGCAGAAACTTAAGCATTCTCAGAAGATATTTACACACATTACTTGAATATTGACCAGTAGTTAAGTTGTGTGGTCGTATAATTATTACCCATTTGTTTCGTTTGCTGTCAATGTTATTTTTCTAGTTGTCTGTTGAGAAATATATTAATGTTTGTGTATAAGTGTGTTTTGTGATGTTTGTAAGTTGATAAATTGTTGTATAAATGAATCTTAAATATGATTTCACTGAACTTACAAAATATGCATTATATTACATTTCTCTAAATAATTTTCAACAAAGAATATTAGTAAATAGCCTCCATTTTTTATCTGAAAGTTTAACAGAGTTTTCTGCTTTTCAGAGGTGGACAGTATACGTGTGTTTTCATGCAAGAAAATTCTTTATCTTTGGGATTCAGAGAGTGAGTCATTCTACAGGCTGCCAGGACTGGATGCCGGAGTGAGTCAATGGTGTTAGCCATATTCATTTTTTAACAGGAAAAGTGTTAATAAAAGATACAAGATGTCTAAGTGAAACTTTTATGAAGATTCCAGTTGCAAAATTCTATGCATAAAATTGAATATAAAAATGCACATATTTCACTTAAAATCTAAGACAAATTAAATGTACATACAGTGCACCTATTCAATATTGGTTTTAAATGAATAGTGAGTTAATTCATTTTAAATTACTGTGTTTAAATGATGCTGTTACTCAGACATGTAAATGTTTCATTTTGACACCTTGTATATAATATGATCCTGTAGAATTCCTCTTTTGGTAACTTTTTTTTATGTAAAACAGTTGTTTGATATTTCTTTCCAGGCTTCTTTCTGGATATATTATCGAGGTTGAAGCATGTGGTTTCGGGAGCATCAGTTGTATGTTGCACCCAAAGTACCTTCATGGCATAGCTTTGGGCAAGCTTTCTTACCCCTTGAGCAGTGCTTCCCTGGAACATCTGGAGTGGTGCTCTATATTTATTACTTCCTCCTGGCCTGTATAATCTGGCCTCCAGTTCTTTGGTTTCACTTTTTTTTGTTTTTTGCTGAAAATTTGAGTACATTATCTCCATTGGTTTGGCTTGTTTTCTTTCTTGGTTAGTCTTACATTAAAAAGCAGCAGAAAGAAAGTGCTCAGAAATAAGGCGTTGAGTATATTGAAAATTACCTTTCTGGGTAGATAATTTTGCAGTTTTCATTCCTGCCTCTTCAATTCCCTTTTATTCTATGCTCAGAGACAGACCCCCTTAAGTGTAATGTACTCACCTAATTGTACTTGCATAGCTGTATTTGCAGAGGATGAGCTACAACTTTTGTATCCTGCCTCTTTAAATTTTATCACCTGGTGTACTGATACCAGAGCCTATTGAGCTCTTGTCATGTCTACACTTGAAGCTGTGAATGGAGTTTGCCTTCACCACTTAGTGCATTCTATATCTTCACTATCCTGATACTGAACAAATTTCCTAATGTTTCTGGATTATATTTTGATACATAGTTTGTATTTGTCCCCTCTTGTGATGTCCCCGTGCGAGCCCGTTTCCAGGCCGAGCTCGGGAAGTAGAACTCCCAGAACCCTCTCCAGGAATGGTCCTTGTTCATGCACTACCTATTCTAAATAGTCATTTCTTGTCGCCCCTATCTATTCCTTTGATTATCTTGTATGTGATGATCATGTCTTCCCTGTTTCTTGTTTCAGTAATGAGAGGTTTAATTCTCATAGTCTTTCCTTGTAACTGATATCTTTCAGCTCTAGGACTAGTCTGGTGCCATACCTCACATCTGGTGCTGCATATTCCAGAATTGGTCTGACTTAATGGTACACAAGACTCTGACTGACTTCTTGTGAGGGCTCTGGGTATGGGAGCCTAGGGTATGTGAGGCTTTTGCTGTCTAGTGGTAGTTGGCAGTGGTATCGGTGCAGGCCAACTTGTAGTTAACCAAAGGTTTCCTTGGTACTATAGTAATCTGTAGAGCTTTGAAATGGTTGTTAATAATTGTGAGCTGGAATTAATTATCTCCAGTACTCCGTAGCACCTTAATGACCCTAGCACCCATGCCACAAGGATGTATTCACCTAGTTGTGCTTGCGGGGGTTGGGTTGAGCTCTGCTCTTTCGGCCCGCCTCTCGACTGTCCCTTGGCATGGTTGCTCTGTGCTGTACTGCTTGACTGCATATTTCTTCTATTGGACACGTCAGAACAAACTTGAGCAGCAGCAGAATGACCTGATTATTGCTCAATAAGGTGCTTTTATATTACTCTCATTTTTCATTATGTAGGTTACTTAAATAGCATTCATTAGGAATTCTGAAGTATTGCAAAGTTTTTATTACAAAAGCAGGTTCGTGACATGTTCTTTTAAAGTAGTACTGAACTATTTTAATTACTATTGCTAAAGAAAATAATCATTACATGTTCTGTATATGCTAAATCATTCTCTGATAATAATTGTTTATAACATAAGGTGTCAGATTTTTATTGCATTTATTTTTGATAACTATTATGATTTTTTCAATATTATGTTCCATGGCTTAGCAAACGGCTGAATCTCTCCATCGTTACCGAGGAGTACATTGGATTGAACAAGCTCGAAGGAGGCTCATATATGGGGAGAATGCCATTAGGGTTCCAGTTACACCAATAAACCAGCTGCTCTTTCTTGAAGCTCTTAACCCATTCTACATTTTCCAGGTAAAGTGAATATTTATTTTTGTCAGAGAAAATATAATGTATATTTAATTCCTTTCCAGAAGTAATACAGATTTGTAATTTTTTCAAACGAGAAGAGATACGGTAGATGCATTCTTAACCTCGTACGACTTGATGCACAAGTGCAGTGGATGGAGGTTATCGTCAGTCTGAACAAATGTTCATAACAGAGCACACTAGTGTGGGTGGTGTGCCTAAACCTTACCCTGCCAGTCACAAATAATAGGCGAGGATATTCACGGGAAAATCAGTAGGAACAATGAGGAGGATTTGAGCACACGTACTGAGTACTCCCAGGTAAATGCTCTAGACCACTACACCATGACATGGTCAAAAGCATTGCAACCTGGGATTCAACTGAATCCTCTAGGGATCCTGAGTCTTCCACTGAAGCCTAATCAGAATTTCACACAATGCCCGCATACACTCTACTTTTGTAGAGTGTATGGGGCATTGTGACTGATAAGAATCATTTTCTTACCTTGTTCTTATATCCTATTCTTAGCTTGTTTTTGCATTCATCTTTGAGATCAGTCCTGCTACAGTATTTCAGGTTTGTTGTTAGTGGGCGTGAAGTGAAAATAAATGTGATTTAGTTACTGGTTAGAGTATCGTATTTAAATTTAGTCACAATTTAGTTACTTTTATCAGGCTTTGTGGTAAAAATTATCCTTTTGTGTAAGATGCTCCAGTGAATTATTGTGCCCTCATACACCTTGCTGTACAGTACTATCAAATTACAGAAAAAGCATATGCTTCAGCTATAGCTAAGTACTGTACATTGATGGAGAGATTAATACTTACAGTATACAAAATAATACATTTTCTTAATGTGCTTAATGTAAATATATTTTGTATTCTTGAATTGCAGCTGTTTTCTGTGTGTTTGTGGTATTCCGACGAGTACATGTATTATGCTACAGTTATTGTAGTGACATCAGTGGTTTCTCTTATATCTGAAGTATACCAAATGCACCGCAATCAAGTGGCACTCAGCAGAACAATACAGTCGGCAGACACTGTACAGGTCAGTATTTATTATTCTGTATACATTTTGTAATTTCTGGACAGCTTATAACCCTCATATAGTGCAATATTATGTTGTGTATGCTGTTATTAATTCTGTCACATTTATTTATTTATATATAATAATAATAATAATTAATTTATTCAGGTAAAAGTATACACTTTACATACAAAATGAGTTAAAACCGAATGTTCGATTTCTCGATAGAGCTAATATATACTATGCCTAAATCCACTAATAAGCATAGCATTTCAGGCGAGATGTGAGGAAAAAACTTAAAAACTAAGACTTAAAACTAATTGAGATCAAAAGCACGAAATAGGGAATAAAAGAATGACAATAAAATGAACAAATTCACAAGGGCCCTGATTGGTTTTCGAAATTACATCTGGGATTACAATAGATTACAATAATTGCATGTTAAATATAACTGCAGAAATTGAAAAAGAATAGCAGAAGTAATTTTAACTAAATAAACAGATAGACTACTTCTTCTTCTTGATAGTAGGTGCAGTTTTGATAGACTACAATTTTCTTTAAGTTAATACATGGCAGATATCAGCAGTTATACAATTAATCAATTGTGATTGATAATAGCATGACATTGGTTGACATTTAGGAACTAAGGTAGGTTGCATGGAGTTAATAGGTAGTATTTATTTTTTCTCTTAAACTGATTAAGAGAGGGGTAGTCTTTGACTTTGGGAAGGTCATTCCACATTCCTTGACTTGCAGAGCATTTTTAAGAATAGATAAGGAAACATTATAAACATTATAAGGAGATAATGTACTAACCCCAACCACAGGGGTGTTTTCCAGGGCCATTGTTCCATGTGCCTCTCTGACGGGGCCAGGTTCTGGCTCGTGGTCCCCGGTAGGCTGAACTCCATAGACTAATGCTCTGGTCTAATGATTCATTTATTAGCCCAATAGCTCCAGGGAGCCTATGGGGCTTATCCAGGAAATGGCGTTTCATTACATTCAACACTGGTTCTTTGTCATTCTTCAGTTCATAGCTAGTCAAAAAAGTAGGTTTAAGCATGCACTAGAATTGCATTTTATCAAAAAGATTAGCATCATTTTGCAATTTAAACTGCTTACTGTATATTCTATTAGCAAGCAAATTAAAGATTATTTTATCTTCAGGTGGTGCGAGATGGTGATCAGGTAGACACAATACCATCAGAACATCTTGTTCCTGGTGACTTGATGGTAATTCCACCTCAAGGATGCATGATGCAGTGTGATGCTGTTCTCCTAAAGGGCAACTGCATTGTTAATGAGTCTATGCTTACAGGAGAGAGTGTTCCAGTTACCAAGACATTTATTGTTGATCGATCAGATGTCTTGTATAATGATAAGGTTAGTGGTATTTTATTTTTAATCCATTGTAAATTTTTTAATTCAGTCTTATGATCCTGATATAAATACCATATTTGCCGGTATATAAAATGTTTTTTTTTTGTATTCTTAAATGAATAAAAAAATTGTGCTGTGTCTAATGTGGCTGTATTACGGATGGTAGACTGAGTGCTGTAGGCTAGGGGGCCGAACGGGCTTACTGGGTTAGTCAGCTTGGCACAGAAATCGAAGCTAAAGTGAGCTTTAGACAGCTCAAATCATAGTCAAAATACAATTCTACAAGCCCTCCTTGTTAAGCTGTTGGTTAAGTTTAATGCCTATGGACTTTATGCTGCTAAGGTTCCCTCTCTTTTGCAGGGGACAAGAATGGTATATTGCATGCTTGTGAGATGCTGAATTTAATTATAAAATAAAGCATATAAATTCCAGGACTCTACATCCATGAGATGGGATTTACATACATTATTTATAATTCATAATTAGTTAGTTATAACTATATTAGTAATATGTAACATACCGTTAGGACAAATTTTCCACTGTTATTGTCAATTAATGCTTTTATGTGTCTTGTTGCATATTCACACATCCAGGAGCATAGCCGACACACCCTGTTCTGTGGGACTCAGGTGATTCAGACACGGTTTTATGGAGGAGAGCGAGTAGTGGCAGTTGTTGTACGAACAGGCTTTCTGACGAGCAAGGGCTCATTAGTTCGGTCTATTATGTATCCACCGCCTGTGGACTTCAAGTTCCAGCAGGACTCGTACAAATTTGTTGGTGTACTGGCAGGGATAGCATCAATTGGCTTCATATACACAGTAGTTACCAAGGTAAAGAAATCGTCTAAAGTGTCATTGTTAATTTCACATGAAATAAAATTGCTTTTTATATGTTTGTTAAATCTACAATTTCAGATAGACATTATTTATTAATAAACTTTGATTTTTACAGTATATGCGTGGACTAACACCGTCTGCAATTGCTCTAGACTCTCTGGATCTCATTACAATTGTGATCCCTCCTGCACTGCCTATGGCCATGACAGTAAGTTCTTTTGATAAACCTCTAAGGAATTTAATATTATTCTCCTTTTTCTTTTTTGTTTGTGACATCACATTAGTTAATAAGCTTATTAAGGTAACGTTGGATGATTGTGGGAAACAATATGCTTGTATATAACTTCATTTATCAATAAAATCAAGACTAATATCTATATATTATTGTTGCTTTGTTCTCTCTTTGGCAATGGTTTTTCTTGCGGATGTGAGATACAAAATATTGTGTGTATACTCTAAAGAGCTTGGTAATTTGGATTCTGGTAACCCGAATCTCATACTAATTCAAATTCAATCACATTAATTTTTTTTTTTTACCTTTTGATCCTAATAGGGATTCAGGTTAAAAAGGTTATATGAAATAAGACACTCAAATAAGTTAGAGTTTTTGACTGTTTAATTCAAACAGAAATGACAATTGGGTTATATGTGCTCGATTTCCTTATTCCCGAAGTTTAAAAAAAAAAGAGCTAGGTAAATTCCCATGTAACCATTGACACAATGTGTTAGCTGTAGACAGGTTCCCTTATTATTTTCCTCTGCATTACTTGCCATCACCGGCCATTGGTGCATTGCTACATTATTCGTAGGTTTTTCCTTCACAGATTTCCCTACATTTCTTCTGTGGTAGGCAGGCAGCGAGGTGGACGCGCATATTTCTTGTTCTCAATATTGAGAATTTAGACAAATTCCTCTATTTTATGGATTTCAATCCTGATTTTGTATGTAGTGATCTTATTGCCCCCTTTTCTTCTCTACTAGTTTTGGGTTATTTAGCACCTCCACCCTTCCTTCATTGGCTTTATTCTGGTTAAGAATAAGTCCTCTTCATTCCATCTTGCCTCAGTTACAGTAGAGAATATATTACTTTAACTATATACCTAAGTCTTTTGTATGGTGACTGGAGACTGCTTCATTCCACTAGGGAATTCTGCACCACTCATTTATCTTTGCACCATGCACTCAGTGCTCTATATTTTGGTTTACAATACATTGTAGTATAAATCTATAATATTGTGTTCTCAGGTTGGAATCTTGTATGCACTCCAAAGGCTGAAGAGCAACAAAATTTTCTGCATATCGCCCCGTTCCATCAACATATCTGGAGTGCTGAACTGTATTTGTTTTGATAAGGTAAATTGTAAACATATGATCAATGTGAATTTATAGCCATTATAGTTATTTGTTTGATCAGCAACATGATTGAACACAAATAACTCAATTCACACACATGAAATGAAAGTGATGACGTTTTGGTTCATCCTGTACCCTTAAGTCGTTTCACTTTATACGTGTGGGTTGGGCTATTTAGTATTTTTCTCTAAGGTTTCTTTAGTGTCTAAACCGAGTCTATATTTATTTTCCTATGCTTGCTGCTGATAACTTTGAGAGGTTTTTGTTAATTATGGTTATGTAATACTTGTTTCACAGCTTCTCATAGCCATTGTGTCTGATGTTAATGCTAGAAGTGGTGGTGTCTCGTACTGCATATAAATTAACTAATTCATGACACACACTAAAGTGTCCAATAAGAAAACATTTTACAACCATCATAGAAAATAAATTGCATTCTCTATATTTCTCTTATCCTATGTTATTCAATCATTGAAGATGCATCAGTAGTACTGTATTACCTTTTAGAAACAAGTTTATGCATTTCCTTTCTTCTAATTAAGCATTGCTGAGTTTTCAACACTGAATTTGGAGAGACCAAATATAAAAGTGTTGAATGTATTGAAATGCCTCTTTCTGGTGGGATCTTTGTGGCCACTTCTTGTTAGCCATCTGGATAGCTCCATCCAGTTCAGTCTTTGCCAGGCATTTGTGAGTCATTGTAAGCTACCATAGCAGGTGGCCTATTACCTGCTTCACATGTGACATGATGGAAGGACACCACTGTGGCTGAATTGTATGTATTCTTAGCTCTGCTTATAAAACATTCCATGAAACGGGTAATAAAGGATTATTGGAACAAAAACAGTGCTGTTCCAAGCCCAGTGTTCAACAAGTGCACCATGAGATAGGTTTCTGATATTTTTACGGTGCCTACACTTTGAACCTGGAAACTAAAAAGTACCAGAACCTGGAAAGAAAACTGTGACAACCAAAGAAAGCAGCCTTTAGATGCCCTTACAATGTCGGGAAATCGAAGCAGCATGTAAAACCCCATAACAGTAAGACTGCAACCCAGGGGTAAGGGCATAGATCTGAAACCCAACCATGACTCTGACCCCAGAAGGAAAACCCTAGGAAAAAAGACAATTCCAGAAAACCAGATGACACTCTGAAAGATACATGGAGAGGAGTAATGAAGTAATCAAGTAATCAACCCAAACAACCATTGAGGGCACAAAAGTACCCCTATGTGAGCAGGAATAACCGTGAATAAAAGAAAGGTTTGAATACTGCACATCAGTCTGGAAGGATTGGAAAAAAATCCCACAAAGGGCAATCATAAGGAACAAGAATGTGTATCTGTTCTATATCTTCCCCCCTTTTGTTTCCCTTGTACAAAATTCACATAAAAACCAATATGGGGAAAGAGGCATCGAACCCCATCCACGGGTTCTTCCAAACCCCGAGAGTCCCAAAAAATGAAAGACTTCAAGGCTAGGCACTAGACTGTAGTGAGTTTTCCTGAAGGGAAAACTGAGCCTCAAACTACATCCCCCAGAAAAACAGAAGGCAACAGGACTCTGGCAGGAAACATCAGTATAACTACCTCCGCTGCCAAACATGTAAAAGGCTGCTGTTATGAAAGCTAAGCAATCTCTCAAGAATACTCAATGAAAATGGGAAGCTAGTAAAGCCTCTTAGCCACTCAATTTGTAATAATGATACACAAAAATAGCTGAACCGAGGCTTTTATGTTGGCTAAACTCAACAGAACAGCCACTCGGCAGTAATTGCCCAACAGCTCCCAGCTCCAGAAAAAGTAGAGAAAATGGTGAGGATCGTAATTGCAATGCCAGTTTATGTCATGTCAGGGAAAATGATTGAGGCTGTCTAGTTGAGGGATCAAGAAGCTAGGTGCACAGGTGTAATTATGAGTGAACTGCTTTACAAATGAGAGGCTCCTAGGTTCTGGGACTTATTTTCAATGCTTTGTTTACTTTACTAATTGTTTGTTTTGTCTCGCATACTTTTCTTGTGGCCCTTATCTTGGTTAGGGTGACCTAGTATTCTCTGCTGCTTGCTTTTCTAAAGAGAGGGCAATCAGGTTTTGGCATATGGTCTCTTAGTAGTCTTGCATTGACTCAAAGACCTAATGTGGATGGAATTTCATGATGCTATCCAGGTAGCTAGCAATAAGGAGCCTCCATATGAGTCTTCCCAAAAGAGTTGAAAACATAATAATAGAAATGAAGATTTAATTGAATGTTCTTTTTCCGAAGACCGGTACTCTGACTGAGGATGGTTTGGACATGCGAGGGGTGGTGTCTGTACGGCAGACGCCAGGTAAACCAGCCGAGCTGAGTCAGATTACTTCTCCCTCCACCCTCCCTCTTGGCCATCTCTTGTATGCCATGTCTACCTGTCACTCCATCACTATTATCAACTTGAAACAGGTAACTTAAACATTTTGGAACGTTCCCAGGATTCTTACTTTTCACTTAATTATCATCATTTTACATTTTCAATCAGTGGCTTGATTTTATTAGCAGGATATGCAGCTTATACATCATGATGTTTTGAAATTTTTGGTTTTATTGTGCTGTACTTGAGATAAAATATAATTATTTTTTACTTCACTTTCCACCTCCATTTACAGCGCCATTTATTTACTAATGTTTATATGTATGTACTATACAGGGGACTGTCAATCCCTTCAGCATAACAGGTAATATAAAAAAAGAAGCTTCTCCCATATTAATATTCCCGGTAGTCTGCAGGCTCCAGGCTATGTAGGCTTCTGGTTATTTATCCTTATAATATAGTCATGTAAGATCTCCGTGGACTTGCCTTTTCAAGACCTGTTCAGCGGTGTTCACAGAAATCCACTGCAATGAAGGACAAATCCAGCATCACTGAGTAAAATTTTCAGGTTGAGTATTTTTAAATATTCACAGGGCGGGTGACATCTGGCAACTCCTGCACACCGAATCAGTTGCCTAGCTACACCCGTGCAGCATAGCTCTATCTCTTCCATTAGTCTATCAGTGATGCAATATCATGTATGTAATTTTCTCTGTTGCTTGGACCACTAGACAAATTTACCTGCAAGGTTATATATAATTACTCACTGTCACTTTATCCACTGCCCAGGGGTATCTTCCAACCACATACTCTGATACTTAGCCTCATATTGTGACACCACTTAATAAAAAGCAAATGTAAACCTGTCACTAATACACCCTCATGCAAGAAACAATTTGTTATGAGATGCATTTAACCAATTAATTTCTATCCTGATATTGGTTATTCTTTTGTAACAGGTAGGGGATCCATTGGATCTAAAAATGTTTGAAAGCACTGGCTGGGTTTTGGATGAACCAGGTCTGGATGATACTAATAAATATGATATGATGATGCCGTCTGTAGTTCGACCAAGTGCTCCCGATATTGTCATCAGCAATGAAAATGTAGAAACGGAGGTAAGATATTTCCTATTTTTTTTTTTAGTATTTACTGAATAGGAGATTCATTAAAGTGTGTCAATACCATGATCAAAATATTTCATATAAAAATTACTCAGACTGCTTTAAAAATTGTAATTACCTGTGCATGCGTGCGTGCATGCATGCATGTGCTACAGTTGTACTCTACTGCATTAAAAAAAAATTTTTTAAGCTTTGTTTAATTTTGGGTGGAATTTCTTTATAAATAATAATAGTGATGTTGGAAGAAAATATAGTAACTATTCCTATCTATTTTGATGTAATATTCAGTTATATACTGTAATTTGTGAATTTTGTTTCAGCCACCACTAGAACTTGGAATTCTCCGCCAGTTTCCATTCTCGTCCAGCTTACAACGGATGTCAGTCATTACCCGCCGACTTGGTGCACCAAACTTTGAGCTTTACTGTAAGGGTTCCCCGGAGGTGAGTAATATTTGAGAATCCTCATTATTTTCACATGGTTTTGTTTTCTATTGCAAGAAGTTGGCCATATCATCACTTGCTTGATAGAAATCTTGAGTACTTAACTCTTCAAGTACTACTTGATTTGACATGTCTAGATTGCTTGATGTATATTTAAGGTGCTTCTTCAGGTGTTTTAAATGCTTGAATTTATTAGAAATATGTGGGAAGCACCAGCTTGTTGTCTCCATTAAGGAAACAGGGTATCAAAATAAAAGATGGGTAACTATTATGAATATATTGATAGTATTTACTAAAGCCTTTTATTGTGAAAAGTAACTCCAGTTGCCTTTTAGATAAAGGCATGGCATGTGAATATATGTTCTGTTGAACAGGAATGGTGAAATACTAAAGAAGTTGTTCACAACTTTTGTTAAACCAAGACTGGAATATGCAGTGGTTGTATTGTGCCCATATCTTAAGAAACATGTCACTAAACTGGAAAAGGTGCAAAGACATGCAACTAAATGGCTCCCAGAACTGAAGAACTAGAGCTATGAATAGAGGCTAGAGGCATTAAATATGCTAAAACTAGAAGATAGAAGAAAGAGACGATATGATCACTACGTACAAAATAGTAAAGGTAATCAATAAAATTGATAAGGAAGAATTCCTGAGACCTGGAACTTCAAGAACAAAAGGTCATAGATTTAAACTAACTAAACAAAGCTGCCAAAGAAATATAAGACAACTCACTTTTGCAAACAGAGTGGTAGACGGTTGGAAGAAGTTAGGCGAGGTGGTGGTGGAGGCCAAAACCGTCAGTAGTTTCAAAGCGTTATATGACAGAGTGCTGAGAAGATGGGACACCACGAGCGTAGCTCTCATTATTGTAACTGCATTTAGATAATTACACAAACGTGATGTATCAACGAGAAAATCTGAAGGAGCCGTGTTGAGGATTCGAACCTATTCAGTTGCATAGCTTCGAATCCTCATCATGGCTCCTCATCACTTAGGAGAGTTGATGGCATGTGTGAAAGGTGGGGAGGAAGAGGAGAGGAGATGATATTGTTTGGCGGGGGAGTCCCCTACCATATCCCACCATGAGTGGGATTGGGTGGTTATAGAATTGGAGCTGCCTCGTATGGGCCAATAGGCCTTCTGCAGTTACCTTTGTTCTTATGTTCTTAATTGTGTTTCCGGGGGTTCTTTCTCTTTTCTGTCTTTTTCTGTCGTAGAGATTTTAGATTTAGGCATACCAAACTTGGTAGCAAGAGCAGACATGCAGGCACCCCTCTCACATTGTGCTAAATTTTTTTGTTCTAACGAAACTCGTGTGGTTCACAAAACTATTGGTGTTTTAAATAATTTTGTTTGTTTTGGATCTTATCACTTTCTTAGGCACAATGGTGACTTATTTATACTTAAAATATAAAAAATATCAGAGAAAACATGAGTAAGTTTACAGAAACATTTAGTGGGGTGTGCACTGAACGACAGCTACTGGGAAAACTGACTCGTCTGTTACACATGTTTACATTTGAGTGCTGAGCAAACGGTTGGCTACCGAACACAAACAATGTAAGAGAGTCGAATTTCTTGAGTTGGGAGCCATTCAAGTACTGAGGTTCCTCTGTGTATACTTTATGCTTGTATCAAGGTCCCCTTCCCCCCCCCCCCCCAAGGTCGAAGTAATGACCCAGGATGCAACCCCACAATAGTTGCTTAATTTCCTGGGTACCTATTTACTGCTAGATAAACAGGTGCATTAGGTGAAATGTGCCCATCCATTTCTGTCCCACCTGGGAATTGAACCCAGGATCCTTGGTTGTGAGTTGAGAACGAAGCCAACTGTACTATAAGATCATACTGATATCTACAACAAAACCTAAGTTGAGTTGTAGTAACATCCAGGAGTCTTCTTATTTTATTGGATGATTCATGTTGGGTTTGTGTTTTTCTTTGGATTTTTAAATTTTATAATATGCAGTGACGAGTCTGTTCGAACTTAGACCTAAAAGCTCACTTATTAAAGACAAATTTATATTATTCATTAGTTCATGGATATCCTTATTTAACCAAATGCTGAAGAGAAAAATAACAATTGATTGTTGATGTGCATATTCTTTGCAGATGATAGCAAGTCTCTCACAGCCAGAGACAGTACCAGCCAACTTCTCTGAGCAGTTACTGCAATATACTTTCCAAGGGTACCGTGTGCTGGCTCTGGGATGGCGTCCTCTCAGGCTGTCGTATAGAAAGGCACAACAAATCAATAGAGACGAGGTGGAGTGCAACTTAGAATTCCTTGGCCTGCTAGTTATGGAGAACCGACTCAAGTCAGAAACGACCCCTATTATCTCTCAGCTCCATAAGGCCAAGATTAGAACAGTAATGGTTACTGGTTAGTAAATTTATCATATTCGTATTACTAAAGTTATATATTGCTTTATTATGCTTATTGATCAGTGTTTGGTATGGAGAGATGGGAGGCATAATATTTGAATAGTAGGGGAGGCTGCCTTTTGTATGGCACTATTGAAACTGACAATTTCTTTAGTTATATTTATTTATAATTAGTGTTTGTTGGTGGAATTCCTGTACCTTATCAGAATTTAAGATTACAATTTTTATGAAAAACAAGTTAATTGAGAGTAGGTCCACTTGATCTTGGTCCATGTCATTGGAGGGGATATGGGGCAGTTTGAACCACTGAGAGGTGGGTTAAATACACAGATTAACATTTCATAGACTTGTGACAGGCATCATATGAAGCGTATAAAACATCTCTGCTTTATACGCTTCTGGTATGTGTGCGCCACGTAAATGTCCTTATTTCTGAACTAATGCCACTCGGACATTCCCTTAATAATGTTACTTCCTCTAAACAACTCTTGGATTCAAAGAGATTCATGTCACATGTCATCCGCTGCACCATGCTCTAGGTCACCGATGTGGTGTCCCAGGCTTGTGCAGCTACCAGCTTTGGTTCCAATCTGTACAGTGTATCTTGGCTTTCACACTGCTTGCCTGGGTTGGTTGCTTTTTTCCTGTGTATCATTAGCATTTTGTTGGATTAGCCTTTCCTGTTCACACACACACACTGTTGACAATGTTGATATTTGATGGTGAGTTAGGATGATGGTTTGGCAGACATTAAGCAGTTTGTTTTAGCAGAACAACATTTAGTGATCTCTTTGAATTCACTAATAGGCCAACAGTGGATAGCTTGAAAAAATACATGTTGTACTGGGAACAGAAAGATGCACTAGTTCAATTTGGATTTTGGCCGTGATCTCGGAAGCTAGACAAAGCCTAAGAGAGCGACTTAGTGGTTTGCTGAAAAAGCAGCTTCTCATCTATAATCAAATGCTAATTTTTTTAATTGTTTTATTCACTTTGAAATCCTTTTGTGATTTTCTGGATAAAGATGTTGGTGTTTATTATTAACATTTTTACTGATATTATAATTTGATCATTATTGTAGGGGATAACATGCTGACAGCTCTTAGTGTTGGGCGTGAGTGTGGCTTGGTCGGTCTGCAACAGCAAGTCATTAGTATCAAGGCCGTCCCTCCACACCAGGGCCTTCCTGCTTGCCTCACATTCCATGCTACTACAGCCAAAACCCCGGCATCTCCAGTGGTTAGTGTTAAATGTTCATTTTTGCATCTTATTTTTTCTGTATTGCATTTCATTGTCATTAATACCAGGTTATCCGCATGGGGAGGAATTTACGCGAAGAAGATATATATATCATCATTGGACACAATTACCATCTCACTCAAAGGCAAACAAAGACAGCCTCTTTGAAATGAAAAGAAACAAAGTGACTTTCAGTGGAAGTTGGAAATGTAAATGAGTACTAAGCATGAGAAGGAGGAGGGAAAAGTGGGAAGAAAGAGGGCAGAGAGGGGAGATCTACCAGCAAAGCTGAAAGTGCCCACTAACCACCAGGGTACTCCTGCCTAAGGATTAATTGCCCGTGTCCAATGTCTGCACCTTTCAAAGGCCTAGGGTAGAGAGGGGAAGGAGGAGGGGAGGGAAGGGGAAAGGTAGAGGGGGGGGAAGGGCTGGGTGGGAGGGAGGGAGGGAAAACCAGGTCTGCTTTCAGGCAGGCCATTACACTGTCTTCCTTATAATCTTTGTCATATGATGCATTGAAATTACTGATGGTTTTGGCATTCACCACCCTCTCACTTAAATTCTTTTGGCTATCAACAACTCTATTTAAATAAGAAAATGGTGTGTGTCTGTGTAAACTAAAATACATAAAATTATTGTACCACTTTGAAATAGTACAGTATGTTAGGATTGAAGTGACTACTACAGATATCCCAAATCTTCATGTAGAGAGAGATTGCTAGTGTGTTAGCCTTGCAGATCTATAGTCATCAGTTTAGTCCCTTGTATTACTCTTAAATTATAAATTGATATAAATTTTTTCCAGGGAATGAGACAAGTGGATGCTGGTGTTGGTATATGTTTAGAAGATGATACAAATGATTCATACTGTTTTGCTATGGAAGGCAAATCCTGGGGAGTGGTGCACGAGTATTTTCCAGACAAATTGCAGAAAATGGTAGTTCGTGGAGCTATATTTGCACGCATGAGTCCTGACCAGAAGCAACAACTTGTACTAGAACTCCAGGCTCTTGGATATTATGTTGGTAAGTTTTTCACCATTGTTACCTTTCCATACTTGGGGGGGTTGGGAAGCATTAACCAGAGGTATATAGGGCAGTAGTTTATGGAAAAAAGCTAAAGAATTTAAAGAATTGTGTGCATTCATTTACTGTATCATACACATTGTACCACATGGAAAACCAGCACCTCAACACTTCAGCAAATTGGTCAGTTCACCCTGGTGGTTTCTGGCACCATCTTCAATTTTGATGCACTTTGGTACACACACAGATCTCGGTGAAGAAATTTAATGACTTTTGTCTCATATCTGTAACTAAAAAGTTTCTGGAGATGCGTGACTTTGAATTTTGCCAAAAGATTGCGCTGTATTTCCAAGATCATACCATATTTCATGAGGCATCTTCACAAACATCTTGGCTTCTATGGCATACGAGTTCATTCAAGCAACATTTTAAATGTATTGAGTGGCTCTACAACTTTTATTCTATGTATATTTTATATCAGGGTTAAAAAAAGTTGACTCCTGTCCAATTTTACTTCTTGCATCACCACTTCCTAGTGTGTCAAAAAAGCTTTTGATACAGTTCTTCAAAAGACTGATACACAAGATGCAGAAAGAATCTGGTATAACAGGAAAGGAACTGGACTGTGTATGGGAGTACTTGATACAGGAAACAGTTATAGAGAGGATATGTCAGGCAGGAGAGGAGTAGAAAATGGTGTTCCACAAGACTCTTCCCTAGTGCCACTGCTGTTTTTAATACTGAGAACATATAAGCCATGCATCTACATGCTGAAGCACCTAAACTATCACGACCGTCTCAGAACTCCCAAAATGTACTCGTTAGAAAGGAGAAGAGAGAGAGAGAGAGAGAGAGAGAGAGAGAGAGAGATATTACATAATATAGACACGAAAGATGCTGGTAAGTCAGGTCTCAAATTTTCACAGTAAAATAACATACTGGAGCAAATAATATGGTTGTAAATGCAGAATAGACCCAGTTAAGAATTGAGGTGCCATAGGTATAGTCAGAGAACACTGTATGAACATTAGAGGTTCTTGGGAATTCAATATTTTCCCAGCAAACATTAGAAATGTTGCCTGTACGAAAGTGGAACTGTTTGAGAGAAAGTTACACATTCTTGCGTGAAGTGTCTAATAATTGTAACCTGTTTGCAAGACCAACCAGGTTGTAGTAAATATGTGGGCCTACAGGCCACTCCCAGCAACAGCCTCTTGATCTAAGTTATCGAAAGTCAAGCCTGGCCCTAGGCTGGGCTTGGGGAGTAGAGCTTCCAGAACCTCGTCCTGATACAAGGCCTTCTGTCACACTGCCCATCTCAGTGCTCCTCTTGAGCCTGCTTGATTACATGAGGATTCTAAGTTTTCTAACTTTAGCAAAGATTTTAGTATCTCTATCCTCTTTTGCTCTCACCACAGGTTATAATGTTAGTTAACCAACTAATTGTGGCCAGAGAAGCATTTTTTATGTACAGTTCACTCGTATAATGATTTATTAGTTGTAGCTTTTGGTAATGTTATTAAATTTATTGGTAAATTTCAGGATTATATGATGATTATTCTAAACTGATAATTTATGATATTAGGAATTTGATGATTTTTCTGTTTATTTCAGGAATGTGTGGTGATGGAGCTAATGACTGTGGGGCTCTCAAAGCTGCTCATGCTGGAATCTCACTCTCTGAAGCTGAAGCATCTGTGGCCTCCCCTTTCACCTCGGCTAATGCTAATATCTCCTGTGTTCCCATCCTCATCAGAGAAGGACGCTGTGCTCTTGTTACCAGCTTTGGAATATTTAAATACATGGCTGCCTACTCACTCACTCAGTTTGTATCTATTATGATTCTGTATTCAATTGATAGCAACCTTACTGATTTACAGTTCCTATGGATTGATCTCTTCCTCATTACTGTGTTTGCCATATTCTTTGGCCGTACTGAGTCATACAAGGGCCCACTGGCGTCATATTCCCCTCCAGCGTCTCTCCTCTCTGTAGCGCCCATTTTATCGATTGTGATTCATATGCTTGCAGTAATTGGCTTCCAAACATTTTCATTTTTTTATGTTCAGGAGCAACCTTGGTATGTACCTTTCAATGCCACGACAGCAGATGAAATATATGCTGGCCATGAAAATTATGCTGTCTTCTCAGTGTCTCAGTTCCAATACATCATGCTTGCTCTTGTGTTCTCCCGTGGCCCGCCTTTCCGCCAGCATGTCTATTCCAATTACTTGTTGTCTGGATCTATCTTGATAATGACTGCATTCAGTGTAGTTCTAACACTTGCTCCTCCTCAATTCGTTATTGACTCTTTTGAGATAGTTCTTCCCCCAGCAGGCAATACACAGGCAGATTTTTTTAGATGGCAAATGATTTTCTTTTCACTATTGTATTCTGTATTAGCATTCTTCATTGAATACATCGTAATTGACTATTTATGTTATCGGAAGTGCAAAAATAAATTTCATAATGTTCACAAGTCCAAAAAGAAATATCTAGCGATTGAACAGGACCTGAAACAAGATAAGACCTGGCCACCCTTGTCTCCTGATGGTGATCTGTCAGGAGGAGAGAAAAAAGAATTAACGCTTGATGCCCGGAAGCTCGGTGAGACAATAAAAAAGGTTGAAGCGAATGGCCATGCTACTGGAGCCGTCACAACCGTCACACAATTTCAATCATCTTTATGAGACATGCTAATTTTTTTTTCTATATTGTATAACATTGCATATTTAAGTATAATGCCATTATTTTATTGCAGTACACATACTATTATTATCCGATACATTTTTATCAGCTTGAAGTTTTAAAAAAAAAAGTGCCTAAAATAAAGGTTATCTGAATTTTTTAACTAAATAAATGGTCAAGTAAATTTGAATTGATATTGATACCAAATAGTTCACCGCATTAGCAGATAGTTCTTGCATATTAAAGTAACAGTACTGGTACTAAATATAATAATGCCTCTACAGTCCTGTGAATTGATTCTGGGCATTACCCACATGAAGAGGCACTTCATTTGATTTAACACCTTCAGGTAGAGATAATGATAGTGGAACAATTAGAATAATAAGTATTTTTATTATATCCTGCTTGTGGATACAGTATCTGTAATTTACTTCCAAAATGTTAAGACTTGGAGTAAGTATCGATTTCAACACTTTCGCGCGCCCCAACCTACCCCAAGGTGGGCCTGGCGTTTCCTGGGAGTGCGCACCCACACTAATATATGTACTCTTTCCAGTGTTCCGACCTCAATTTTCGAGCTACGTCATTCATTTTGATATCAAATTATTCACAATCTAAAGGCGCGCATTTTAAAACTAGTCCCATAATGATTGGATAAAAAATATAATTTTAATAAATATTTTAAATTTTGTCGCAACATGTGTCGCCAGCGGACATCTGTAAATTTATTTATTGATGCAGACTGCGTTGCCGATGGATGAAAGTGTTAAAGACCTGGATGCTTCATGGCAATTTTGAATGTTAGGTATATGAGCCTAAAATGGCATTTGTGCAATGTTACTTGCATCTTAGTGAAACCATTGAACAATCTCACTCGCTCATGTTATATATGTTATAAGTAGGAAAGTTCTTCTGCAGCTATGTAGCACTTTGTTGCAGAGATCGCCATTACAACTGATTTTGTCCACAAATCAGTTTAAGTCTACAGCGGGATCAAGTGGGATTTTTACCACAACCAAAAACGAGACCATTTATATTGTACTTGAAATTTAGCATACATCATGGTTGTAATAAATAAAATTGTAAGTCATCTTGCTGTATATCCTATTTTGGTTAGTTCCTTTGGGTGAAGAATACATTATTTATCAAGTGTGAAATCCTCCATTGTTCATAAAATGCTCTAGGCTTCTGCATAGTTTATATTTCCGTGTAATAGGATTGGGAATATTTTATGGAGTAGTTCATTATGTTGCTATGACCAGAACAACTTAAATGATGCAGTATGAAGCTTTGCTAATTAACCCTGATGACCTGTAACTTAAGTGAGCTACTAGTCCATAAATCATGCCACAAGTTTGTTTTGACCACTGGTGATGTAGTGAAAATTCAGTAATTTGATTAGGTTTTAAATATTTAGGTGATAATGTCAACATCTATTTTTACACTAGGTGTTGCATGATAATTTTGTGGAAGGATCCCATGAATAACTGCCTGTGCTAAGTACTAGAGTAACCAGGCCTCTGGGATCCACCATTTTCTATCAGAAGTTGGGACCACAATCTGTCTCTCTGTAAGACTAGGAGTGGTGGAGCAGAGTTGGTAGTGGCCTTTGTGCCTGGCATCCCCTTCCAGTCTCCCTCACAGTTTTGGCCTCCTTGGGGGGGGGGGGGGGAAGGCCGAGTTGTAGACTCCATTCCTAGCCCTCCTCCTACGTTATCGATGTGGGTCTTTCGGGATTTTGGAGGTTTGGGGAAATCCTGGGATGGTCCCATCTCTCTCTCTCTCCTCTCCTTATTTTAATTAGGCCTGAGGGCTTGTAGTCCTGGGAAGCTTGTCTTCCCTTACTGTCCATTGCCAAGGCCTCCTCCCAGCCCTTCCCTTGGGTGCATTTTTTAGTCCAAAATTCATGACCTGGCTCTGCTGGATGGCCAGTTTCTGTGGCCTCATCTCCAGCTGCAAATCAGTCACTGAGGCTTGCTTCATATCTGTCAGGTTCTGTAGCAGTGTGTCTGTTCAGGATCCAGCCTCATTTTCTTTCCAGGGTGCCATCTGCTGCAGCTTGTCTTTTGGCTCCCTGGCCTTAGGGCTTGTGGGGTTCCTGGTGGTCTGGTGCAGTCCATAGAGTTTCCCTTTCCATGCCGGGTTTGGTATCTTTCCTGCATTTTGCTTACAGGCTCAATTTGTGGTTTCTGTTTTGGAGGTTTTCTCCATTTGGCCTATTTTCTGTTGGGGAACCATATTGCCTCTTTAGGTCTGGGTTTGTGTGCTTGGTCTCTGGCATTTCCCCACAGTGGCTGTGGGGTTTGTATTTGTTTGCCTTGTTCGGGTTGAATGTAGACACAGTAGTCGCTTCTGTATATTTATTGACTGAGACAACAAGGTATATATCTGGCCGACCTTGAGTCTGTCGAGATAACTGAGGCTGCTGGGAGCATGGCTGATGCTCCTCTGTCTGGCATGACGTCAGAGGCCTACTTGCCTGTGATTGGTTATATTCCAACTGACATAGAATTTGAGTATAACATTTGTGCAGATTTCTGTGGGTCCTCTGCTGCCCTTTCCAGGTTCTGGGTTTTTTTCCTCACCTTTGTAATTGAAGGTGGAGTGTAGTACTCTAGTTGTCTGGCTTTCCTGCTCTGTGGAAGTTGACTGAAAGATATTTGAGGAGCAGTATGTGTGTCTGTCAATCACAGTTTCAGCCTGCCTGTTCACATCTGTGGCATTTATGCTTGCTGAATTTTGTGTCGGGGGCTCTTCTTCCCTTCTTTAGGTGGGGTAAAGTCCTTTCCCTGTTTTTTTAGGCCATCTTCTATTGTTTTACCTGGTCAGCCATTTCTTGCCTCGGCTGTTTTGTGAGGTTGGGGCTTCGGCTGTTACTGCTGGTTGGTTCTCCCCATCTTCCCTCCCTCCTTTTCCCTCCTGGCATTGAGAATTTGAGAGCTTTCTCACACTGTCTTGTGTTGTCTGGAGGGATCCTCACTGAATTTTGTCTTCCTTGGACCTTCTTGGGGTACTTATCCTTGTGTGCACATTTGATTTGGCTGTTTCTAGCTGCATGTTTGCTCCAACAGGCCCCAGATTTGCTGGTGGCCCTGGTTGTGTGCTATGTGGCTTTGACCTGGAGATGTTTCATGGTCATAGTACTGGGATGTCCCTGGACTGTATGCTCAGAGGACCTTAGGCTGTGTGCCCTGATTTTTCCAGTTTGTGGGAGATTGTTCTCAGGCCATTTGCCTAGTTGTTCCAAAGCCCAACGTTCCAAAGAAGCAGAGGTCAAAGGGCCCAGCTAAAGAAAATGGAACACTCCCCCCAAAGACCTGGCCCTTACAGGGAACTGGAAGGTTGTTTCTGGGCTGCATGCCCGGTTGTTTCTGGACGGTTCTGGTTATTGGTGCAGTTTTCTGGGTTCTTCTGCTAGGGCTTCTATCCTTTACTTCTGAGTTTTGGGTCGCATATTGGTTATTATGGCTATGGCTTATCATTCTCGGCCAATTTTATCTTTGCTCTTGGCCCTGAATTTCTAATTCTCATGCCCGGTTCTTCAGCCTGTTTGTTTCCTGGCATCCCTCCGGAGATTTTGGTTCTGGCCAGCCAGTTTATTCTTAGAAATTTGTTCGAGCTTGGGTCACAGAAAATGGCATTGCATTACATTCGATGCTTTGCGTTTTCATAATTTTCTCAATGTACAAAGTTGTACTGTTTTTGAAGCCCGAAAACTTGTGGCAAATCTTGTATAGGATGAATGCAAGTCTCAGGGACTCGAAGTAGCAAGTAGTTATGAAACAAAACCACCCATTTATTATACAGTACATTGTTTTATTTTATGTCGAATAACACACAAAAGTTTCAAAACAATTTGTTCACAATCGACTCCAAATTTTAAATGTAAAATTCATCAGTAACACTGAACAGTATCCTTATAAATTACAGCAAGTTATATTACACATGGGACAGTTATATGTCGTGTTCCCAGAAATAAGTGGGTAAATGGAATGAGAGTTGTCCTGGATGTATAAGACTGAAATGAATGTATTTTATGTTGAATGTTTAATAACAACTGAAGAAAATGAGAATTGTGTTGATTTTTTATTGTAGAAAATGTAAGCAGAGTAATTTACATGATAGAGATACTGTATAATATTTAGAAGAGAAATAAAACAGTTGTTTAGTTGAAGAGTTAGAATTGCCAACAAATGTGTGAATAAATGCATTGTTCGAGTTTGAGCTACCATCTTCAAATGCTTTATTGTGTAGAAGCTCGCAGGAAGCATGATGTGTGAGAGTAAAGGCTTTTCCTTAAATGTTGTGCCCAAATATAGTTGTTTTTGTACAGTGATGGGAAGCATTTTTGTGTGAAGTTGATCATTCTTTATTGTGAGGAATTAATTACATTCAGTATTTGACATAGATGGTGCTACATAATCTTCCCGGCTTGGTGGTTTCTTTTGATAATTACAGTACCGCACGCACTTGCATTTAGTGTTGATTTAGACTGAAAATTGTTTCATACAAGATGTCGAGCATTAAATTACATGAAATGCATTCATTGCAGAGTGCAAGCAGAGTGACTTGTTAATACCAAGAGTGGATGTTATGTTTACCAAAATCTATGTTTTCATTAGCTTATAAGGTCTCGTAGTTCAGTTGGCTTTAATCTCAACTCTGTTGGGGATCCTGGGATTGATTTCCAGGCAGGACAGAAATGGTTGAGAACATTTCCTCTGTTCACCTAGCAGTAAATAGGTACCTCGGAGTTAGGCAAGAGTTGTGGGGTTCCATTCTGGATAGGGTCAGTAGTTTGACCTTTGGGGGGGAAAAGACCTAGATTCAAGCTTAAGTATATATATATATACACAGGCTTCCTGTCCCCAACAAAACAAATTAGGTATTTCTTGGCAAGGAATGACTGAGTAATTTATTTTTGTAGTTGGCCATATCACATTAAATATTTATGTATAAACTCATTCTTAAACATTTGTAAAAGTACTATAGTGTGTGTGCATTTTCCACTTTCAAATAGATTATTAAGAATGTGCATGTGTAAGCATGTGCTTCTAATCTATTTTAATCAGCAATTGACATTATTTAAAAAATGTTACTTCTTTCACTGATGTACACAATAATATATTTTTAAAAGATCATCATATTAAATGGTAATATATATTGCTGGAATGTGGAACATGTGAATACACTCAGGATATTAAAATAGAACACCCTATCCATAAACCTTAAATGTAATGTAATTTAAATTGAAAGTAATCAAGAGTTATGAAAAATATATTTTCAAGATATGTTAAAAGGCAAATAAAGCCATGCACAGTTTAGGAGACTGTACGCCTTGCTGGAGGGATGGGGAGAACATACGTAATATAAAAGATATTAATCTCCCAGTCACAAAACAAGGTGGAACAGGTGTGTGAGTCAGATGTAACAGGAGTTTATACCTCCTTCAAGGAGTCTGTCTTGTAGCAAAATAGTCCCAACACCCATTCTTTTAGTTGTGTTTTTATGAGTTGAAAATTCCAAGGATCTATGATTTAACTTCAAAATGTAACCTGATGAGTATATACTTAATATTAAGAACATGCCTCTTAACTTCACATGAACATTATACTGTACTGTGATTGTAATTTGATAATCATATGAGATGCTGCAGATGAGAAATTGTTTACCAACATTCAATATTGGGTATTTCTGATGTTCATTCATTCATTCTGTTGCTGGTGGATGACAGTATACATAAATAATGTTACTGCCACAGCAGTTGTATGTATGTATGTATATATATATATGTATGTATGTATATGCATATATACATATTATATATATATATATATATATATATATAAAATTATGTTATTTTAATACAAATACAGTGTGTGTGTGTGTGCTAATCACAAAAAAATTTCAAATAATTGAAGCATCACATAGAGAAGCATTAAACTTAGGGTGATAGTGAAGAGGGAGACGAAGATAAATACGAATAGATGTTCGTTTCTCCTGTAATGTTGCTAGACATATTGGTATGTACGAGGACACACAAATTAAGTGTTTAGTTTCTGTAAATAGCCCCAAATGCAGAGAACTGTTTGGAGTAATATAGTCAAGCCATGTTGAGAACACCTTCTAAAGGCAAGATCTCTAGCTTCACTATTCTGAATGATGATAAAATATAGTCGTTAAGATTGTAGAGATTATTACCGGTATATTTATTTATTTTCTGATTATTATGCTGTATTTAAATACAGTTCAATTGATTACTTTTATATATAATTTACATTTATTTTACTTTTTAATAATGGTAAAGCTTCAACTAAGACAAAATGGTGATGCTATTATATGCAATATCACTTCTTTTAGAATATTTAAAGTTGATGAGGTTACATTTTGGGAATATTTTAAATTAACATTGTACATTTTATCCCTTTTACTGAGTCAGCTGTGAAAAAATAGTCTGTCAGTAGCATACAGTTTAGCATTTTTTTTTTCGTTTCACAGAATTGATATTTTTAATCATTACTTCTAGCTATGGTAGAATTTTCAAGAAGCTTCCCTAATTATATGAATAAATTCCCCTCATGTTAATTAACTTGATAGTATTGTAGTTCCTACTGTTTTTGGAATTAAAAAAATTATCTCTATTATAATATTTAATTTCTTAATAATCTGATTGCTATATAAACAAGATTTGTTGGTACAGTATTCAAGGTTCTTCACATTTAAATATATGCTTATCATAAAGTTGGAGGATTTAGGTATAGTAACTTTGGACTAAATATTTCACCAGATTGAAACAGACTGAATTATGTCACAGAAAAATCATTGTAAAGGCTTACTCTCAGCCTCAGAAACAGTGCATAATATTGACACACAATGAGCACTAATCTCATTTCGTGCTCTACTGCAAATTAAATTAATCCTCTGACAGGGAAAAGTTTTTAAACAAGGAAAATAGGTTGACTTTATTTTAAGATCACACGAGGAGGAAATTAAATGTATGCCCCAGAAGTTACTCTGGATGATGATATGCATCTAATTAGATACTTGTTAGAATACTGTGTGCCTTACAGTTATTTAAAGAAAATATATGAGAACTATATGGTATTCTATAGATGGATAGAAATTGTATTATGTTTGACAAATAAATTTTTGTTTAGGTAATGTATCTAGGACTGATACTGTAACTGATTGTGCGGTTATATTAGTATAGATGTTCATGCTGTATTTAAAGTAAGCAAGTTTAGTGTGTGTGCATGTTGTAAATGGACAGGACTGCCGAATTTTTTTTTTTAGTTTGAAATTTGGTATATAAAAATATTAAGCTTCCTTAGTGAAAATATGATGATAGTTTTATAAAATGATTTCTGTAGATTGAATGACTATCATATTTATTAATGGGATTGGGTTTATGTAGCATCTTGAAGCTTCCATTGTTGACAGAAGTGAGGATATGTATGAAAGTATAGTTGCATCCAACCCTATGTAAAACAACTGTAATAGGTGCATCAAATATTACTCAAGGTTTATGTAACATCCATGTGATTAAGAATAGATACATCGAACATTACTAGACACAGTATTTAATATCCATATGAAGGCTAGACTATTTTGCCTTGTTAATACTAGAACGCAGAACACAGTATACATGTTAATCTCAAAATGGAAAGAGCCGTTAAATATGAATGTGTGTAATTTATATTCTTGGTCGAGTAGTTCGAGAGATAAAATGCAGCATTTAAAGACGTCTTGTTTGTATTGATGTTAACGGTACTTAGTTACACCCCTGAGTCTGTAGGTTAACTTAGTAGTTGTGTGTAATGCAAGTCTTGTGTAATCTGGCTCTTTTAATTACCTAAGTGTAATTACATAGTGTTGATATACCAGTACAGACAAGAAAATCTTCAGTAGTTTCAATATAATCCCAATTTCAGCAACATCAGAATATATAGAACTAATCAAATTGACTTCAGTACTTTAAGAAATTTAGTTGAAACTTTCAATAATCTGACAATTGACGAGTAATACTTTTTTACACATCCAATAATATTTAAACAAATTTTTATTCCCGTATTAGTCTAATGTGTTAAATCTGTATATATCAGTTCATTTATGATTCTATTTTGCACCACTGAAATTACAGTTTGTGCTGTGTTATGTTTATGTATCTTGTATGCAGTAATTTACATTGAAATCAGTCTGGTGACTAAAGTACTCTCCTGGACTATGTACATTTTGATTACTAAAATGTTGTACAAAAATGTACTTGCAAAAATGCTTATCAAGTGGATAGCCTGGTAAGCCTATATTGAAGTCACATTAAAGAATCAGGAGTTGAGAGCTGTACTTGGTCAGACTGTAACCATTTGGTTACAGTCTGGCCTAATTTGACCTAACCTGACCTAATCTACAGTTTGGTTGGTGATGGTGTTGAATGTGGCATCTTGTAGTTATGTCCTGGAGAAGTGCACGACTTCTTTATTACTGAGTATGTTAAGGACTATGAAATGGAAACATTTGGCGGTATTGAAGTGAAGATGGCTGCAGATAGACAAAACAAATTACAAGAGGAAAGGAGAGTAAATTTTCAGACAAATATTGCACATGGTAAAAAGTTTCATAGTAGATATTATGGGTATCTTTTTAGATTATGGAGCTTCAGAGATAATAAAAATCAAATTATAATGTTACAGGTACAGTAGCTTTATAAAGACAATGACTGGTTATGAAAGGATAATGATGCTGTAAACCAAAACACATTACTGTATGTGGAAGCTGTGTGTTGAGAGCAAGATGGTAATGTAAACAATAACCTGTCTTGTGCAGGCACCAATTTTGAAAAGTATTGGTGTATTTGTACTCTTCAAAACACACACCTTTTGGGTTGGTGGAGAAATGGCCAGCCTGCTTCATCACAGGCAAGATTCTCAACAGATACTCCATTTAGAGGTACTGAACTAGGCTGTAAGTTCTCACCTAGCTCTAAGTTTGCCGAACCTAATACTGTACGTAAAACTAGAACACTATCATAGTTTACAAGTTCTGTCTAAATACCTCAAAAGGGCTAACAGTATACACACAGATAAAGGATTACATCTCACATGGTATGTCTCATTTCTTACAGGAAAGGATATGTATATTACCCTCAAGTGTGTACAAGTCATCTGTGTTTGGAAGCATAATTAAATTGCTAAAATCCCAGTAGAAAAGAGTGAATAATTCCTGAAGATCACAGTATATTTTTAGTTATGAAAATTAGTAGTTCAGGTGGCTGAGAGTAATGTCCATAAGATTAGAGACAGAGAATATTAAACATCATTAAGAATATGAAAGCATCACTTAAGAACCAGGACATTTGTATAAATATTCTAAGTTGGTGTTTGTCAAATAATTACTAAAGCATCTCGCCATTGACATTGACAAGGAAAGAAAATTGTTAAGGGTAAAAACTCCACCTGAGAAGATGGCTCATGCCACAGCCTCATGCATTACTAGAGACATGTTGGATGTAGGATCTGAGAACAAGAAAAGATGTATACTGTATTCTCACTCATCAGAGCTTTGACAACTTTTCCCTTCACACATTATTAATACCAGAAAGTTGTGAGGAAGGTAAATCTTTCTTCTTGTGAGTATGTTGTGTGGAGACTGAGCCATCACGAGGGTTGAGGACGAGCTGATGGCGAGACCTAGACCTAGATCTAGATCTAGATCGAGAACGAGAACGGCGGGGTCTTGAAGACGAAGACTTGGGGCCACGCATGTTAGTGCCAAGGAGGATGACAATGATTGCTGCATAGAACACAACAATCACCTGCAAGGAAGTACTGAATTAGCAAAGTTATCTTTTACTATCGAAAAACATGTTCATAAAGCATATGGAAACAAAATGCATTTAAATTTACTCTACTTAGGTATCTTAGAAAACATCTTACTGCACGATTCATATTTGCAGAGATGTGTAGCTACCTTCTTAATGCACTGTATATTCAGTATCATGTCTAGCTTTATTCTTAACCAAGCTTAATAATATATAAATTATATTTATATATTATAAATATATAATTTATAGATTATATATAGAGTATAAATTAGCTTATATTCTAATTAGCAATACAGTACTGTACTTTATTATCAGTTTTTAATATAATTGCAATTGTTTACTTAGGAATTAAAGTGTTTTTAAGAATTACAATATTTATCTTAATGTTCAAGGTATTTCAACAGCTGCTGATATACCTTGAACTTTTACACTTCACCTATCTTTATTTCTTCCATTGGGGTATAAAATGACTGCACCCCCATCTTTCCTTTGCTCTCCTTCCCATTGTCTCTCCCCTTCCATTGCTTGTAAGATATGAGCAATATGAACTACCATTGTTCTTGAGTTTTTGTTCTTTATTCAGGTATAAGGTGCAGTTGCTAAGTTGAAAAACTGAATGTTTAATGGTCTGGGTTTGAATTCTATCATTACTACTTCTACAACATTCACATTTTCTCTTTACTTCTATTGCTACTCTGTCTACTTTTACTCACCGCAACAAAGATTGCAGCCTCTGCTGAAATTTCAGATGTGGAAGGCAGGTTGCCGGCACCATCCTGCTGGTGGCTGCTTCGTAGTCCAGATCGCAAACTTCCAGCCAGTACACAACCCAGCCTGTACAGTGGGAATTATGTCAGCTTGATTTTTGGGGAAACCCTGCATTGAATGTAATGAAAAACCACTTTCTGGTAGGGCCCTTGCTAATGGGTCACATAAAGTTGTGGAAGTTCTGTTTGGCCTACTGGGAACCAGAGCCAGAACCTGGCAGGTAGCGAGAGACAATGTGTCGCCCCTCCAGAAAAGCATCAAGAATGTCAGTGAAGCTTTATAGACAACTGGAGGACTCGTCAAAAACAAAGCTTCGACAGTGCCAAACAATTATGCAAACAATTCGCACAGAACAAAACATTCACTCTAGCTTGAAACTCATTGAAGTAGTACTAATTGCCACCACCAAAACCAATGAAAGATGCCAAAGGGACAGAGTGGTGAAATGAGCTCCAGGCAACTACATGCTGCTGCAGTGAAGAAAGGTGCAGGTGGGTCACCAGCAACACAGCCACGTTCTCACTAAACAAATGATAGACCCACATCAAAATTACTAGACATGAAAAGCAGAAATTTAGAACCAGCTAATACATCATCAAACAGATTTACTGAAACAGGCGTGACTACAGGAAATCATCTCGGTTCAGACACCAAGTGAGAAGCTGCAGAAACTAAGGTGGGGCCAGTCACCAAGGACCCAGAAGGATCACCCTCCTCAAATACAACTTGCGGCTGGACCGAACTCAGAGCACCAACTGAGCTGTGGGGGAAACAAGGGAAATGAACTTCCACCACGATTGGAGAACAGAGGCGCATAGAAAAGATGGTTCCGGTTCCACACTTGCCAATGGAAGGATGCATTGATGATGATCCACTCTGTGGAAGGGACAAGCCTTCCTTGTTACTTTCTTGTGGGACAAGCTAATAAATTGGATACACACCGCATGTGAAGCATTCAGAGAAAAATCCCCAGAGAATCTAGAAGCTTAGCCACATGAAGCAGCCAGCTCCACTGGGCAACAGACCGAAGCGACCTCCCTAGGATCAGGCATTGAACCGCAGGGAAGCAACTGAAATGGAACTGGCGTATGGAGCCCAGAGGAAGCCAAATCTTCCACAGGGCATGTCACACAGCTGCAAATTCATATGCTGTACACTGTACCCAGAGGAACAGACCCAATCACTAACCCCGGGCAGCCAGTCTGTTGATCATTGATTATGAAGCCCCAACCTATAGCCAATATGTCCACAAACACAAGCAATGGCCGAAATGGTGCCTGGAAGTGAACCCCAAAACCTGAATGGGGAAAGCTGGCAGAGCAAAACTCAACAGTGTGTGGGCAGGGCTCGAATTGCAGGTCCTAGGAGTAACAAAATGGGCAGAGCTGGAGAAACCAGAACAATACCCAGAGCCAAACCTTGCCCATCCACAAACCACACAGGCAAAAAAAAAAAAAATGGCTCTCGCACAATGGCTCCGCCAACTGGCGAGTCACCCAAAGCCGATCCAGTACCAGACAGTGGCAAAGATGTAGGTGGAGCAAAGCTACTGCATGTAGACAGGAGCAGAGCACCCAACTGAGAGTACCCAATCTAGGTTCACCACATGTCAACCCATGATGGAATCTACTGGATTTTCTCCAGTGCACCAGGAGCCTGAACCCTGGCTAGCAGGTTGGGCTGGCTGGGTGGGCTAGGCTGGGCCCAACCCCCATATGAGTTGTGGAAATGTGTAATATGAGAGCGGAAAGTGAGCCAGTTGTATGGGAGAGGACCGTGAGCCAGTAATACAAGGATACGTTTTGGTTCAACATCTGACATGCAAGGTAAGTAAGTAATTATCAATAGAAGGCACCAAACCGGGAAGGCTATGTAGCACCAGACATGCAAGGCAGAAGACCTGGGTTCCAATCCAGAGCAAGGTGGAAGGATTGGGCATTGCTCCTCTATTCACCCCTACGCATCCAGAAGTAACTGGGGACATGGATATAAAACAGTTGGTGGATCATATTCCTGGAACAACATGGTTCTGGGGAAGAAGATGACGAGGGAGGAAGAGGAGGAACAAGTAGTGGAAGGGGACGGTAAGTAGTACCGATATCGACTCCATTGTCCAAACTTCCGTCACTTTGTGGGATGGGTGAGTGGGAGTGAGGTTGCTGGACACGCGAGATGGGACGCTGGGATGGGGGGAAGAGGGGGGGTGTTCTATTAGTTGGGTAGGTTGAGAGGTTCTAATGGCTGGGTAGGATGGGGCTTTTGATTGGGTAGGATGGGAGAGTGGGCTTTTAGATTTCTAGGTAGGTAGGATG